GTCGTCATGGTCGTCGTGGTCTTCGTCGTAGTCGTCGTCGTCGGCAGCGGCAGACAGACAGACAGACAGGGAGACACAGAGGGCGATGACGACGACGACAGGGACGCACAGGAGCACCACAACGGTGCGTCCTCCTCCTCCTCCTCCGGCTGCTGCTCCCCCCTCTCATGCTACACTCCTCCTCCCCTGCGTCCATTGCGTTGCGTTACGCCTGGGGGGGGCCAGTTGCGTTGCATTATGTTGCGCGGGGGGGGGGCGCCAGCGAATGGTTTCGTCAACAACAACAACAACATCAACAGCAACAGCAACACAGCAACAACAACAACAACAACAACACATGGGTGGGCGCAGGGTCGGCCGCCTTGCTGTGCGTAGGCCAGCAAAACCTTTGTTTACCCTACCCTGGTCGCGGGGGCGCGAAGGTGGGGTACGGGCAGAGGTGGGCAACACGAAATTAGCTCCAAACGGCGTTTTAAGCGGCTCCTTGGGTAAGAACATGTGAGCTATCCAGCTGGCCTCGCTCCCGCACCCCACCTTGGAACAACCCTCCCTCCACGTACCCCCGACCTGCGGGCCGCAGCCCCCGACCCAGGCCAAGGGGGGGGGGGCAGCGAGGGCCGCACCACCCATGTGCCTGCCACCCCGCAGAGCGTGGCCCCCCTCCCCCAGGTTCCCTCCTCACCCTTCAGGCGGGGACTGTGAATCGGGGGTGGGGTATGCAGTTGCGGGGGCGGCGGGGATCGGGCAGACAGTCGGCCATGAGGCTCGCAGGAAATTCAAGCGGGGAAGGGGGGATGACGTGGACGAACATGGACGAACAGGAGGAGGACGGAGCAAAACACTCATGTGTGGAGTGCCGCCTAAGCCCCCAGAGTGTCGGCACACGTATGCAAGTCGAGCCTGCTCCTCCACGGTTGAGGATGGTGGTGGTGTAGACGACATGTAGTGCACGGAAGCCAGATCGATACAGAGAAGTCGAGAACGAAATGCGATCAGCGAGGCCTATCAGAGGATGGGATGAGACACATGGAGGTCAACTGCGCCTGTGCGTGCAATGGTGGACTGGTGGTGGAGGTAGCCCGACCCCCGAACGGCCATTCTCGTTGGCCGACGGGACGTGCGGGGTCTTCAGCTCCGTGCAGTGACTATTCTGAAATAGAACGGTGACAATTGGGAACGGAAGCCCAGACAGCCCCCATCGATGGAAGCGGCGAGATGTGTGGGGCCCATGAGCGGACCTTCGTCAGGACATCTCTGCACGTGCGAAGTACAAACTCATCTCTCTCATGCACCGTGCCAAGCACACTCATTTGTCTGGCGATTGATCGAATATGCCACTCCCCCACAGAGGAATCTCCTCATACGTGAGACAAGGCGGGCATGTGACATGGAACCTGATTTCATCATGCATATAGATGGGCTGCGCATGGGCAAGTCCTTGGCCTCGAGGTACGCATTTTTCTCCGCCAGCTCCTTCTGGGAATACTCTTTCTTGGAAGCAGCAACGTTGGCCATAATCTTCTCGATTCCTTGGCCACGCGGGGCATGCTGAAATGCCAAGAACAACTCCACATCATGTGCTTGCTTTTCGCCGCAAACCTCCCTTTCTCTACACGAAGCACCAAATCCTTCCGGCAGTCCTCCCACGATTTCCCTCCCCTCCTCCTCCTCCTCCTCCTCCTCCTCCTCCTCCTCCTCGTCCTCCTCGTCCGTTTCCTTTCCTCGCACTGTCCCTCGTCTCTGCTCCCCTCCTGCCCACAAGCCACCGGATGGCCCATGACCGCCAGTGGCTCCTGATTTCACTTCCTCTCGCTGCTTTCTGCTCATCTTTCCATAATGCGGGATGACGATTAATGAAAACAATGGGAGAGAACGATTGATTGAAATAATAGTTTTCTAATCCGCGGCCGTTTTTTTCTAATCGTCATCCCGGGCGCCGCCGCGTGAACACGACCCCCGGTCATTTATTAATCGTCATCCTCCATTACAGTCCCCCCGCGCCGAAATCGAGGGGGAGTAGCACAATAAATCCTGCAACCCAATGAAGGGGCAAAACTAACTGCACGGACGGAGTGAACACTCACCCGTTACACCGCGCGGAAGGACAACGGAAACCCGCAATGCTGCTCAAGTGTGCGGAATCACTTGCGTTTCGCCAGGGATCTCGACCTTCGCTGACCGTATCAAAGCACATGGCTGGGATGAAATGTAAATAGAAAACTCGGCAACACACATTCAGAGCAAGCCCATCTAGCCCCCTTTTTCACATAATTTCTTTATAGCAAAAAACTAGTTATATTTGTGTAAAAATATATATATGCATATACATTATGACTTAGACCATGTACTCATCTCGAGCAAAATCTGGACGGTCTGGGGCCTGGTACGCTCCCCGCAGAAGCCGAAGCAAATGAGCAACAATCAAACAGGTGCTATGACTTGTGTCACTTCGCGAGGGGGTCTGAAGAGAAAGCTGGCCGCAAGCTCGACTGGCAATGCGCGTGCGGGCCTCTGTGAGCCGCGTTGGCTTTCGGGATCATCTTCTTCAGCTCGCCTTCCCTCACTCCCAGCCAGGCAGGCCCGAGCCAGGTCGCATCGCAACATGGGGTGGATCGGGAACGGATCGGATCGCCCACGAACCGCCCCGAATCGAATCCAAATCGGACTGTCGCGCCCGATTCTGGCCTGCCCCGCGAGCCCCGCAGGGTGTCCGGAGCGCACCACCCTCGAGCCAGAGCGTTCGACGAGAGCCCGCACTCTCGGGGAATCAAAGGGCCTCGGAGTCTCATCTTCGGCGGGAAGTCGGCGGAGGGCGGGCGCAAGCCTGCGGAAGCAGGTTGAGGGCGGCCCCGCCGGCAGAAGGCAGGCGGCAGCAGAGTGGACCCCCAGAGATATGCAACCTGTTTTAGGTCCAGGGTGTCCTGGACTGTCCCACTATCAGGTCGGGCATGTCCCCCTAAAGGCGGACTTTGGGAGGAAAAGTAACAAATAGTCAGAAAGTCTTCAAGAATGAACAAAAAAACGGAAAAGTCGTCCCCAGGCAATTTTTTCCTATTTCTGAATACTCTCCCTGTAGAGGGACGTGCTCGACTTAATACCCCTTATGTCCGACCACGGCAGAAGCTATGTTATTCAACCTCGCGCACCGCGCCCGTCGTGCGTGGTTATCTTCCCGCCCCTGCGCCGCCACCTTGAGAAGGTCGGCTCCTCGAGCCAGACCGCGGCTCGCGAAGCGCCACTATCGGGGATGGACAGACCCCCCTTTAGTAAAACGTGGTTTAGTGAAAACGACCTGAGGCCCAAACCTGGCGGGCGCAAGCCTGGAAAATAACGGCCACGGCGCCATCTCGAGAACCGAAAACGGACAATTCACTAATCGACGTGTCACTGCTGGGGGTTCTGTCCACCCCCGACACTATCTGCGCCCTCCCACGCAGCACTGCAGCCTCTGTGCAGGGACGCCCCTCTCGGCAGCGAGCGCGGCGAGGTGGCCCGCGAGGCGGCCGCACCGCGAAGAGGCGCCTGGCCTGGCCTCCTGCTCCTGCTCCTGGCCTCCTGCTGCTGCTGTCGCCTGGCCTCCCCTCCTGCTCCTCCTCCTCCTCCTCCTCCTCCTCCTCCTCCTCCTCCTCCTCCTCCTCATCCTCGTCCTCCTCCTCATCCTCCTCCTCGTCCTCGACCCTCCTCCGCGATCCTCCTCCTCCTCCTCGATCCTCCTCCTCCTCCTCCTCCTCCTTTCCCTCCTCCCCAATCCTCCTCATCCTTCTCCGCCTCCTCCTCCTCCTCGCCCGCCTCCACCCGTTCTCGGCCACGGCCCTCGTGCTCTCACGGGGGGTCCCTCCCCGGTGACCCGCTGGCCCCAGGGCGGCGCTGAGCCCAGGTCAGCCGGGGACCACGTCGGCAAGCACAGGCGGCCACGAAGTCGCCCAAAACAAGCCCAGGCCACCGGAGGAGCTCTCAGACTCGGGCCAACGGGGGGAGGGGCGAGGGGTCGCTTGAGCGTGGTGTCCAGGCGAGGGCCAGCCAGATGGGACCAGAGGGGACTGGGTGACCTCTGTTGTTTTTTGTGAGGCTGGGTTAACTAGCTTGTCTGCTGATCCAAATCCTTACCAAGTCGTGTCAGCTGCTCCGGGCGGTCCACTGGGTGACCTCTGGTATGGCCCCTCCCCCGCCATCACCTGCTCCCCAACCTGAGGAAGCTCCTCTGGCGCCGTCGCGCCCCATCCGACGCAGAAGCTCCCCTCCCCCATCCACCCTGCAGCCATCCTCCAGGAACGCTGAATGAAGAAACGACGGGAGCATTTCTGGCCACGGAGAGCCCCGGCCACGCATAGGTCCCCCAACATAGGTCTAAAGGAACGGCCTGAGAAGCAGAAGGCGGTCCTTCCGTCAGCGTCTTGACCATTTCACTTCTCCAGGTGCCAACTTCGAGTCTCCCCCTCCTGGGACCTCCTGGTGACCTCCTGGGGCTTCCTCCTGGGCTTCCTGTGGCCTCCTGGACCCGACCTGGGGCTTCCTGAAGCCTCTTGGGGCTCCCAGGGGGGGATATCCAACATGTGGCCGTCGGGGCCTCCCAGAATGGGGAGGGGGCCAAAAGAGCACGAAAAATCAACGAATCGACACTGGAGGTGTATTACCCCGCCCCTCCGTGCGCTTCCCTCAAGGGGCCGCCACTGGGGCTGCTGGCGTGGCTGAGCTCCTTCGTCTTCTGGCTCAAGAACTGCGCGGCCTGGCGGCGCTATGGGAGCGACGGGGGCGCAGGCGGGCCCGAAGTGCACCAGGTACTCCTCCTCCTCCTCCTCCTCCTCCTCCTCCCCCCCTCCCTCCCTCCTCCTCCTCCTCCTCCTCCTCCCTCCTCCTCCTCCTCCTCCTCCTCCTCCTCCTCCTCCTCCTCCTCCTCCTCCTCCTCCCTCTCCTTCTCTCTCCTCCTCTCTCTCTCAGTGATGGGGCGACCATCGGAAACTGTGGCAACTTCTCCGTGACAGAACCGGCAACATCCTAAGAAGTCACGAAGTCGAATGCGACGACGCGAGGACGTTGCCGCTCGCGAAGCAGCAGTGTGTGCCCGCGTGGCCGCAGAGCTGTTATGGAAAGCATGGGACATCTAAGAATGGGGTCGCCAATCCCCTGGCCAACCCCGGCCAACCCTTCTGAGCCACGCAGTGCATGCTGGAAGCGAGCGGGCACGCGCGGACTGAGCCTCAGCGGGAACCAGAATTGTGAGGATGGCCCAGGCGAAATGTGCCCGGTCGACCTTCCCGGGCAAGCCCCCAGGATCCGGCCAGCCCTCCAGGCCAACCCCCTCCAGCCAACCCTGGTTATACAAACTATTCCCACAGGACGCAGTCGTAGTGCTCGTCGCCGCATGCAAGCGCTCGGCGATGCGCTGGCGGCGGCGGTGGCTGGGGCAGGCTGCCCCACCCCCGTCGTTCGCGTCGGTCTCGTCGGAGTCCGCGTCAGAGTGCGATCTCGTTCTGTGGCTCCAGCACGGCGTTGCGACGAGAAGGCGAGCTGACGGGAAGGGGGAGGAGGAGCAGGAGGGAGTACGATCATCGTGCTATATACTCGTGACAGCTTCCATCATCGTAACCGTTGCAAGCTTTCAGGAGGAATGCGAGAAATGCTATAGATACAGGATGGTAGATGCGAAGATGTCTCAAGCGAAACGCCCGGCCCTGCTTACAGACAAAAGTCTGGTGGTGCGACAGGGGGTGTTACTAACAAGGAAAAAGGGATGTATGAATACGACGATGGAAGGGAGGGCGAGGAGCGCGGAAGTGGAAGTAGGAGCAGGATGGCGAGGATCAAAGAGTAGGGAGAGAAAGGTGAGGACGATGAGTAGGAAGAGGATGAGAATGTGAAGGAAAACATGGGGGAGGACCAGGAGGATGAGGAGCGGAGTAGGAGTAAGAGACCAAGGTGAGGCAGGACGAAGAGGGCGAGCAGTAGGCAGCAGATGGGAAGGATGAGAAGGGTGATGGCGATGAGGGAGAGGTGGGTGGGCGGCGACAAGGATCCAGATGACAGCGATGAGGCGGTAGAGGAGCCAGCTGGCGGCGATGAAGGCGGCGGGGGAGCCAGATGATGGCGACGAGGTAAATGAAGGGGCCCTGAGACACAAAAATAAATAAACACAAATAAAACTATTCCCCATAGTTTCGCATATTTTCTGGGCTTTTGTCTTCCCGCCCAACTCCCATATTTTCCCATATTTTCTAGGAAATCTACGATTAGTTGTGTCTGTGTGTGTTTTTGTTCCCCTCCTGAGCAAAGGTGGGGTAGGATGAAGAGGAGGGGGGGAATGAGGGGGGGAGGAGGACGAACAGCAGGAGGACGAGGAGGCGGATGAGGCGGAGGTGTGCGACGGAGAGAAAGGGGAGGTGGGGCAAGGGGGCGGGTTGAGACGAATAGGGAGAGGAAGCAGGCGAGGAATAACGGAAGGGGGCAACGGATTGGAAAGGGAAAGTGGGAGGGAGAATGGGAAGAAAAGGAAACATTCAGGAAGAATAGAGGGAGAATGAAGGGAAGATGAGGAGGGAGAAATATGTACAGGGTGAGGGGGAAGGGGGATGAGGCGGAGGAGGAGGAGGAAGCATAGGAGGGGAAATATGGCACCGCCTGCCGCAGGGACAGCAAGCCGCTGGGACCTAATGGCGACAGGAAGTGAAGCCACATCACCGCCTCACGCAGATCAAGGATACGACCCACCGCAGGGGTCCTCAACTGGCGGACGAACAACGGTACAACATTCAACTTCTGCCGAAGATCGTCCAAGTGGATACCCGTACGTGCCTCCGTGAGGGTATGCACCCTGCAGCCGCCATGGGACAGGCGTCCCCCCAAGGCGGGAAAACAAACACATTGTTGCTGTTATTACTCGTCCGCCAGCTTAGGAGCCCGCAAGAAAAAAACATCCAACGCATGGACCGAGGAGTGAAGGATGCCTGCAGGATCGTGCGTGTATACGTAGCCCGTCCGAAAGTGGAAGATCGACTGAGCACTCGTGTTCGCTGTTGCGTCCCGAGAAGGGGAAGAGAGGGACGTATTTTGTTGAATGATGCGGTCACTATGGCATACAACAATCCAGATGATGCGAACGAGCGCTGGATTATACTGACGGGGGTGAATTCCGACAGAACAAAGCTTAACCAACCACGTCCGCCGATAAAATCCCTAATTTTTATCGTGCCGGGGTGGATGAGAAAAAAAAGCATTCGTGCACACAAGGCTGCAGTGCGGTGGTGCGCACATGGTGGAGACTGTGCGCTCTCCAGAAATTGATGGGATTAATAGGGTGGATGCCACGTCCGGCTAGCGAAAAGACAGAAGCCAGACAAAACAATGGAGGATGTTTGCAGAGAGCCTCCAGCCAGGCGGGAGCCACGGACTGCCCACGGAAAAGAAGGGTGCCGCACTCCAAAACACATCAGCCACACCAACTGACTTTGAAGAGTCAGGTGAATGCTGCTGCACTGTGCTCCTCGTCAAGCCTTATCCTGCGCGAGTCGAGAAGGCAACTGAACATAGGAACGCCGCACGGTTGCAACAATGATCAACCCGAAAGAAACGTACCCCAAAGCGCATCCGCCTCAGCATCTGCGTTGGAAGAGTCGGGCGAACATAACCGCGCCCCTGGGAAGGCACTGTAACGAAAGAGTCTGGGTGGCTTCGCACACGTGAGGGCCGCGCGGTGGCCCTGAAAGTATCACCCCGAAGGATGCCGTACCCCAAAAGCATCCCATGCTTTGGAAGAGTCGGGCGGGTACTGCCGCACTGCGCCCGAGTGAAACGATCGCGCTCTGAGAGGAAACCGCTGCGCCCAGATGCGGGTCCTGCTGCGGCCAGGAACGACTGATGCACTGTTCTGGCAGTCGATTCTCATGCACGAGAGGGTCTGGCTGCTCCTATGAGAGCCGCACGGAGGACAGCAAAGATGGCATGGCCAGGCGATGGTACGCATCACCCAGCAAGGAGGGGCAGCCCCGACACTCTCTGTTCCAACATGCACATGCACATGTGCGGCCTGAAGTCTGAGGCTCTGAAGGCCTAAATCGTGTCCAGCCACACGGGGCCTGGAGCCAACACGACCCGCTGGGGGACGAAGGCGAAAGCATCAGTAGTTCCGCCATGCTGGCGACCCCGGATTGAGGGCGGGGACGTCCAGCCAGTCCAGCATGCTGCTGCTGCTGGTCTGCCCACTGGTGAGGAGTTCGACGTAGTCTGAGCAGGCCTGGTAGCCCTGAGGCGCAGCGTCCTCGACCTGGGCGCAGTTGCGCCCCGCGGCACCATCGGGATATCCCAGGCGTGGCCCGTGAGGCGGCTGCGCGCGAGATCTGCGTCGTCAGGAGTCCTAAAATTCAGCAGGGCGTGCCCCACGTTCAGGGTCAGCGCGTCTCCAACGGCCTGCGCGCGCGGCAGGTGCAGCAGGTTGCAGCTCGACAGCAGCCCCAAACTGTAGAGCGTGCAACTCAGCATCCAGTCCGTGTAGTGCGCCGGCACGTTCAGCAGCGTCAGCGAAGTGGCGCGCGTCGGCGAAGAACAACCGATCCAGGCCTGGGGTGCCACCAACGCCCCACCGATACCACCTGCCATCCGGAAAATCCGACGACCTGTCGGCGTGCCTAAGGGGACGATGGGTCCCGTCTCCATTTTACCCCCGTCTCTCCGAGGCCACCTTTGGGCCCTCCGCCTCAGGCACGCCAGCCGTAGGGAGGGGTTCAGCATCATCGTAATCATCGAGTCGGATGAAAGAGTCCCTTTCTTTTGATCCCTTTCACTCCCATGGGGGGGTAGGGCAAGGGGCGGAGACCCCCCCTGAGCCTTCTTTCGCCGGACACCCAGAGCTGACGTTCAGCGTGGTGTGGAACCCATATCTCCAGCAGACTTTGAGGTGGTCCCCATGGGCTCGTGCTGTAGTCGTCTTGAGAGCATCTTGGGTCATCCTGGAAGCTATCGGGATTCGCACGAGGGGCAACCTTGGTGGATCACTTTTTTGTTCGGCGATCTTATAGCGTGTTCGAATCCTGCATCCTCGGACTGTCGAACGCACGAGCGTCCAAGACGGCCCAGCAAGCCGCCAGCATCGCTCCTGGACAGGCTCCAGAGCTTCCAAGAGGGGCCCTCGAGACTCCTGGAAAGGGCTCCGGAAAACGGGGGGCCGCCAGACCGCTGGAATTCCCCCTCGAGGATGGATCCCCCCGAGAAGGCCGACGAGAGGCCTCCAAGAGGCCCCCGGCGGACCCCAAGATGCTCCCGAGAGGCTCCCGAGAGGCTCACGAGAGGCGCCCAAGACACACACACACACACAGACACTGAGGTTCTCGACTGCATCGCTTGGACCGGCGTTGCGCCACGTGGGGCTGGTACTTGCTTGCCCCGACGCCGATCTTCGGAAACACACTATGAAGCAAGTTTGCAGCGCTCACGCTGGACTCTCAAGAACTTAGATGCTCGTTCCCACAAGCCTCCTGAACACACGGGAGCAAGACCATACACAACCTTGCGCTCTGCTCCGGGCTGCTGTGCGCGTCGGCATCCTGCCAGCTGGCGCTGGCATCGTGCGAGAGGACGAAGGCATCCTGCCAGCAGGCGTCCGAATCGCGCGAGGAAGCGTAGGCATCCTGCGGGCTGGCGTCCAATGTGCTGCCGGCGTCAGAATCCTGCGAGAAGGCATTTGGCGCCCCCGCCGTCTCCCACTTCTCCTCTCCCCCCTCCTCCACTTAAACGTCCTCTCCTTCTCCGGCTGCAGCTCGTTTCTGTCATCCCCCTCGTTCTGAAACTCGTCGCTCTCACCCTCTTCCTCTTCCTCATCCTCATCCTCCTCCCCATGCTCGTCCCCATCCTCACCATCACCATTAATCCGCCACCGTGCCTTCAGCACGTAGTGGAGTGCCCAAGGCTCACGCAGCCCTGCTGAGAGGAAGAGGGGTTGGAAGCTGTAAAGGCCCGGACACCGAATTTCCCAACGGCTCCCGGGATTTTCCGGGAGCTCCTGAGAGCTCCTGGAGCTCCTGAGAGCTCCTGAGGGCTCCTGGGCGCTCTTGGGGGCTCGTGGGAGCTCCTCGGCCGGCGTAAGATGACCTCCCGAACCCTTGAGGGCGTCTCAAGAGCCGCCTCAGATGGCCAAGGAGGGCCCCGGAGCGGTCCAAGACAGTTTCCGGACGGCCCACTGTGGGCCCAAGACAGCCAACGGGGCCCACCAGACGCCTCAAGAGGGCCCCGAGAGCACCCCAAAAGATGGTTTTCACAGCGTACAAGACGGCACAGGAAGCCCACAGGATCGCCCCAAGAAGTCCAAAGAGGCCCCCATGATGGCCCCAAGACGGCTTAAGAGGGCCCCAAGACGATAAATAGGCGCCCAAGCCGGCCCAAGAGGGCCCCTAAGAGAGCCTCGAGATGGGCCCCACTCAAGCTGAGACTTCGAGGCCTCCGCCCCCAAGGGGGCGCACGAGAACGCCGGCAAGGACCCAAAACGTTCCCAAGCCCCCCAAGAGGCCCCAGGAGGCCCCCGAGAGGCCCAGAAGAGGCCCGGGGAGATCCCCTCATGAGGCCCCAAGAGGCTTCAAAACTGCCTCCAAAAGACTCCCCGTAGGCTTCTGAAGAGACCCTAACAAGCATCCGAGAGGCCACTCGACTTTCTCCTCCTCCTCCATCTCCACCTCCTTCACCTCCTCCTCAACCTCCTCCTGATCCTCCTCCTCCTCCTCCTCCTCCTCCTCCTCCTCCTCATCCACATCATCCTCCTCCTCATCCTCCTCCTCCTCCACCTCGTCATGATCATCATCATCATCATCATCATCATCATCATCATCATCATCATCATCATCATCATCAGCATCAGCATCAGCATCAGCATCAGCACCAGCATCATCATGACCATCATCGTCATCAGCATCACCATACTCACCACCGTCATCATCAGCATCGTCATCGTCATCATCCTCCTCCTCATCATCATCATCAACATCGTCATCGTCAACATCATTATCATCATCATATCATCATCACCATCATCATATCATCATCAGCACCGCCATTAGCATCATCATCATCTCATCATCATCATCATCATCATCATCATCATCATCATCATCATCATCATCATCATCATCATCAGCCCCAACATCACCATCGTCACTCGACCATCATCCGCCCTCCCCCCCACTCATCCTTCTTTCCCCACCCCCGCCCCGTCAGTCCTCATCCCGCGGCCGTTTTGGCTCAAGCTGCGCAACGAACCAACATGCGGCTGGGCACGCGCACGATGGTGTCTCGGGTACGGCACCGTGCGAGGGCTAAGAGCCGCGCGCCCATGGCGAGGCAACGAAACTGTCGGCGTTGGCCCCACTTGGCGCGCTGGCCTCTGGCAGCGGGAGCGGTCGACTGCGCCGCTGGGTCCCGAAACGTATGAGATTTCAAGACGTCCGCTGGCCCGCTGGGGCCCCGCGCTCCGTCGTGACGGGGGCGTGGCAGACCGTGGACACGACGCGCCTGCAGCGAGCGAGAACACGACGCGAGGCTCGTGACCCGCGGTCGTAAAAAGGGGGGGGCCGGCGGTGCCCGCTCGGGGGCCCATTGGGGGGAGGGGCGGGGAACAAGTCGGAGAGCGGAGCCCACGAGCTGGGCGGCCGCCGAGCAGCGGCGAGCGCACGCGTGCATACGAGCGTGCCCCCACAGCCGGATGAGGGCAGGTGCGGCTGCACGTGCACACACTTACACGTACATATAGGTAGACGCCTGCATGTGCACACGTGCATCTACAAATGTATAAATACCGATATGCAGAACCAGATCTGCTGGTTGAACAGTCACATGTGCGCATGTGCTCATTACCAGCCTGGAACATATCCCTATCCCTATGCTGGGCACCTCCTCATCAAGATGCCAATCTTAGGGGTTCCCTTATTTTTTGAGGGCGAATCCCTAAGATTGTCATCGCCTTTTGGCGTGTCAATCTTAAGGATAGGGATACGTTCGAGGCTGGTAATGCCGAGGGTCTCTTACAGGAGCGGGAGAGCGTGGATTATCTCCGCACGCCTCCGGGGAAGGTTGTAGGCAAGAGTGGGCTGCTTAGGGCTCGCCCTTGCGCGAACGTGCGAAGAGTTGTGCCCTCGACTCGCACCCTTGCAACGCATCCTCCGCTCCTCCGCCTCCTCCTCCTCCTCCTCCTCCTCCTCTGTATTATGTTTCCCCTCATTCCCCCACGTGTCCAGGGACGCCGTGTCCACACGCTTCTCGGCGTCCGCGGAGCACTCGAGGTTCACAAACGCGCGCCCCACTGCCCGACGCATGGGGAGGCGGGGAAACTCCTCCTCGTCCAGCTCTTGCATCAGGCCACTGCCGTACTCGTCTGGTGCGCTACGGACCTCGAGGTCCAGCTTCTTCGGCACGCAGGGGTGGCTCGTCCCCTGCCCCGCTGTGTCAGGATCGGCGGCACGAAAGGTAGAGCCCCAACAGCCGCGCGGGAACTGGTTCAGAAAGTCGGAAGGTACGGAAGCGGCCATGCAGAACACGCCCTGAGGAACAGATACGAGTAGCGCCACAAAGGCAGCTGAAATTACTTGAATGAAGTTGCTACGGTAAAGGAGCAGCAGCGGGGTACGAGGATGCGACAAGGGATGAGCAACATGGCAAGGGTAATCACGATGATGATCAGCAGTAGCGGTGGCCATGACGAGGAGAGGAGAAGGAAGGGAAGGAGAAGAAGTGTGGACAGGCGAACGTGGTGGAGTGGGTGATAGCCTGCAGCAATAGCAATAGCAACACGAGCAAGAACATACACATATGAGAAAACGCATGAGACGGAATCAGATCATGAGGGAGAAGAAAGAGCAGGATGAGACAGATAGGATACATATGATGGGAAGGGGGAGGATGGGGTGGCGCACAGGAAGGGGGACGGGGAAAGAGGGGCAACGGACAAGGGGACAACATGAGGGGAATGAACGGACAAAGTATGGATAGATAGGGGGTGTAGGGGAAGAGGGTCACTGGGGTTACCGCGGAGAGGGGATTGGGAGGAACGTGGAGCTAGGCGGAGGGTAAGGGGAACAGAAGTGAAAGGATGTAATTGAGGTGGGGAGGGCAATGGGGAGCAATGGATGGGGAGGACAACGGGAAAGTGGGAGGACGAGGGTAGCGGGGGGGGGAGGCGGAAACGAGGGCAGGGGAGGGAACGGAGAGGGATGGGAAGACCAGGTATGTCAATGGTGAGGGGAGGGAATGGGGGGCAGCGGAGGTGGGGCGGCAGGGGAAGGGGAGGGGGGGAGGGGAGCGGGCAGGGGAGGTGAAGAGAGGGTGCGAAGAGGCAGGGGCAGGGAGGTGGCGAGGCGGGAAGAGACCAGCGGGGAAGGGGGAGGGGGAGAAGGCAGGCGGAGAGGAGAGGAGGGAAGAGGAGAGAGGAGGGTTCCAAAGTTGTCCCAGAGAGCTCCAAGAGGGGCCTAAGAGGGCCTCAAGACGACCCCAAGAGCGCCCCAAGAGTGCCCCGAGACAGTTCCACTGCTGGGGTATCCGAGGATGGGAGGCGGGGGGGGGACATGTATTGCCCGCCTCTCTTTGATCGATTGCTCCCACCGGGACCCTAAGAGGCCTCTCAAGGACCCCAAGAAGGCTCCAAGTGGCGCCCAAGAGGACCCCCAGAATGCCGCCAGACCTCCAAGAGGGCTCCACGAAGGCCCCCAAGGCTTCCAACATTCCCCAAGAGAGTTCCAACATGATCCCACGACGCCTCCCAGAAGCTCCCAGAGCGCAGAATCTGCAAAAACCTTCATGAATGACTCCTATCTGTATCCTCGTCTTCCTCGTCATCGTCTAGGAATGCGGACACCGTAGTGGCGTATTCCTCCTCCTCCTCCTAATCCTCCTCCTCCACCTCTCTCTCTCTCTCTCTCTATATATATGAGAGAGCGTGATCCACCGCCGCTTTACTGTGGAAAATTGCCAACCTTTTCCTCCGGAACCCGGGGGTCCCCCCCCCCCCCCCTCCGAAAATCCCCCCCCCTGCCGGAACCCCCCCCCCCCCCTCCCGGCAAAACCCCCCCCCCCTCCCCTAACCCCTCCCCCCCCCCCCTCCCTCCCCCTCGAAAACCGGGGGGGGGCACTACCGTTCGAACCCCTCCCCCCCCCCCCCCTCCGGATCCGGAAAACCGGGGGGGGGCACTACCGGTTGGACCCCCCCCCCCCCCCCCTCGAAAACCGGAGGGGGGTCACTACCGGTTCGACCCCCCCCCCACGCACCGCCAGCAAACGACTCCCGGTCCCTACCACCGCTCGCATCACATCCCCCACTGTTGTTCCCAGCGCCACTGTCCTCACCACCACTGTCCCCGCTGGTTCCACCACCGTCCCTATTGTCCCCACCAATGCCCCCACCACTGTCGCACTGTCCCCACTGTTCCCACAACTGTTCCCACCACGGTTCCACTCTCCCCACTGTCTCCACGGACCCAACCACTGCCTATCCCCACTGTCCCCACTGTCCCACTGACTCCTCCGCTGTCCCACTGAGCTGTCCCACTGTTTCCACCACTGTCCCCACTGTCCCCACCACTGTCCCCACTGTACCTCTGTCCCATTGTCCCACCGCCGTCCTCGCCACCGCCTTTACCAGTGTCCCCACCACCATTGTACCCTCCACTGTCCCAGTGTTTCCACCTCATTCCCACTGTCCCCACACCACTGTCCCCACCACCACCGTTCCCACCACTGTCCACTGTCCCCCCTGTTCCCACCATTGTCCCCACCACTGTCCCCACCACTACCGTCCCCACCACTGTCCCACTGTCCCCCCACTGTCCCCACCACTGTCCCGCTGTCCCCTCACCACTGTCCCCACCAACACCGTCCCCACCACTGTCCGCACCCCCACTCGGTTTTCGAGGGGGGGGGGGGGGTTCGAACCGGTAGTGACCCCCCCCCCTTTTCATGATGAGCTGGGGGGGGGGGGAGGGGTTCGAACCGGTAGTGACCCCCCCCGGTTTTCCGGAGGGGGGGGGGAGGGGTTCGAACCGGTAGTGACCCCCCCCGGTTTTCCGCCAGCAGCGGTAGAACACGCTCTTTCATATATATATATATATATATATATATATATATAACTCCTCTGTGTCGCAACCTGTGACGGGTCGGTGGGGCGGGCCGGGCGTTTCGCCTAAGATTTCCTCGCCTTCTACGACCATGAGGCTGAATTTGTAATTGTGGAGGGCGGCTCCATTCCAAAATACGGCTCTCGCCATGGCGCCGCGCACATTCGTGTTCTTAAATGTTCGGCAGGCTTTCAAGGATGGAGGGCGGGTCGTGTTCAACATGTGGCTCTCGCCTGTTCACCGCGCAGAGTCGTCTTACACGATTGAACAGTTTCACGGATGAAGGGCGGGTCGTGTCCTTTCAACTGTGGTTCTTACCGTACCGCCGCGCGCACTTGTGAAACAAAACCACAAGCTTCACGGATGGAGGGCAGGTCCATTTCAAAATGCGGCTCTCGCCAGAGCGTCGCGCACGTTCGTCTTTATAGTTTACACAAGTTTCGAATATTCGTATGGCTTCCGTCCCAGACATGGTGCTACGGTACGGCTCAGGATTGCCAGGGCGCGACAGTCACGCTGATTCGCGGTGTTGAGATCCCAGAAATGGCGTGCTGGCCCGATGCAGGGTCGTCAGTTCGCGACAGTGAAATTGGTCTGCGCTGTGGACGCCCCAGGAATGGTGCTCTGGAGCGGTTGTAGATATTCGGTCGTCTGTCTTCCAAAGGGGCTCTTCCCGCAGAGGAAGAAAACCCTTATAGGAGCCTATGAAGAGGAAGCTTGGAAGGATAGCTATTCCATCATCTATATGGAAGAAGGAAGCTTGGAGGGAGGGATATGACGACGACTCCTGGATGTCACTGGTACTCCTACCTCCTCCTGCCTCCTGATATCTCCTCCGAGAATATCCAGCCTCCTCCTGCCTCCTCCTGCCTCCTCATACCTCCTCCTGCTCCTCCATTGTCCTACCTCTTCCTTCCTCCTCCTAGTTCCTTTTCCTTCCTCGCGTGCAAGCGCCACTAACGCACAAACGATGCGCGAAGATCACTGGGCCCCCCCTGCTTCCCCCGCGTTGTTCCCCATTCCCCGCGCGCTCCTCTGCATCATCCTGCCTCCTCTGTCCATCTCCGCCTCCAACTTCGGAATCTCCGAAGATTACTCCGCGAAGACGGCTGTGGTTCACTCCTGGATTGCGTGTTGCTACACATCCCTCATCACGGAGACTCGCCTGGTGACTGCTTTTGGATGGGTTCGTGGGGGTACAAGAAGCATTAAGCATGTTGCAGTATAGAAGCTTGAAGACTCAATGGTATATCACACCTAAGAACAGGATGTGCCGGTGTAGCAATACTTCTCACACTACATCACGTAGCACAACATGGAACTCGCAATCACCAGGTTACCAAAGCTCGTGACCTAGTGGCAGCACGTTCCTTCACATTCGAAGAATCATCATGCAACTGGCACGTGCCGCTTAGCGCGTGAAGCAAGCATTGCACAGTTGATATGACGAGAAGCGCGATTGAGTACACGCTCCACTTGATAATCGGAACCCAAAAACACGACTTACGATGATCGAATGTCCTACTTCGCCGTGGGAAGAACGTGCGGCATGTAAATAGCTGGAATCACTGGAGGGTGAAACATGGGAAAACCGTAGGACATTTGTTGCGCAAGGGGAAAACCATTTGGACCATTGGGCTGAGATGTGGGAGAAGTCATCGCACTTGTTCTTCATCAGGTAACTCAACGGGGTGCTTTCTACACAGGCTCTAGCTTGCACCATTAGTTATGGTGTACCAGGCCCCCAAGGCCGAATTATCCCACGGCTGGGGGGATGTCCAACATAGCCCTTCTTGTGAGGATTCTACGGGGGACCAGGCGGGGGGAGCGGGGGGGCGATGCCACTTTGGCACATCAACGGCATCTTCAAGCTTCAAAGGAACTTCCGCCACGCTGGTGTAATGCACTGCTGCGACGATGCCAGCCGCACGGAGTTGCGAAACCGTTGTTCACATCAAATCCTTCAGCAAGTATTGGGAAAGTGCTGCTTCCTTGGGAGACTGTACGCTGAGGGGTATAGCGCGCTCCGCACGCGCAGCATTACGCAGCAACTAAACATTCCGCGCGAGCGCCAATGAATGGACCTGTGCTGCGAAGATGGGTGCCCTATGATGCGTGGCGTGCGCACTGGCGCACGCCCTCGGAAAAGAGACAACATTCCTGTCTCAACAACTGTACGTAATACGACGAGCCATAAAGATTTGGGAAGTAATGCTGCAAAGACGGGAACCACATGGCGTTGCGCAGTGGATGATTACACCATTCCCTTGTGATGATGCTGGATTGTTCCTGCTTCCCTGGGGAGCCACACGCTGAGGCGTGGGTGCCCCCCGCACGCGCAACGCTATGCCACACATAGCACGCGGCAAAACATGAACATGACTTCCACGCGCGCCACTGGACCAGTGCTGCAGAGGTGGGAG